TGGCGGGGGTCCGGGTGGGCCGGGGCTGCAGCCTGTTGGTCTTTGCCCGGGCTCGTCCTGCTCCCGCCGGCCGCGGTTCGCGCCCGCTAACCCTTGCTCTTCGCCTTGTCCCCGGCTCAGGGAGGTCGTGCGCACGCTCCCGTCCCTGGAATCCCTGCAGAGGTTGTTTGACCAGCAGCTCTCCCCGGGCCTCCGCCCTCGCGCTCAGGTAAGGGGCCTCGGTGTTCGAAAGCTGCGACCCCTAAGCCAGGGAGGGAACGGGTGCGTGGTGTCCCCAAGGCTCAGAAGGAAAAAGGGTCCTGAGTCGGGGTGGGAAGCCTAGCGTCCTGCCCTCTGCAGAAAGACATTTCTCCCTGCTGGATTTGGATGGGAGGGATAAGGTTCCAATTTACACAGCCATCAACCAGACTGCTATTTACTACGGGACAGCGAGGGAAGCAGGCCTGTGCCTATTGATTTTTTTCTTATCAGCAACTGAAAGAAAAGAGAAATATGAGGTGCCTGTTCTTTTTTTTTTTTTTTTTTTTTTTTTTTTTTTTGAGACAAGGTCTCTGTCCAGGCCAGCCTCCAACCTGGATCTCAGGCATGTGCCACCTGCCTAGCCTAAATTTTTTTTTTTTAGCCTAAATCTTTTTTTGCACATTGGGGATTGTACTTTGGGTCTTTGTCCTGAGCCACATTCCCAGCTCTTTTTTTTTGAATATTTATTTCTTTTGGTTTTCTGAGACAGTGCCTTGCTATAGATAGTTTAGGCTGGCCTCAAACTCTTGGTAAGCCTCCTGCCTCAGCTTCCCAAGTGCTGGGATGCGTATGTGCTGTGCCTACCTCTAAATTATTAGTAGTTCTTCTTTTGCCTATGAGGACCGAGATGAAGATGTCCCTCATGCTCAAGGCTAGGCAGGAACCAAAGTCATGTTGGCCATTGAGCATAGTTATGTATTTAACACATGTGAGTAAAGTTAAAACAAAACAAAACAAAACAAAAAGCTAGCAGGGACAGGCACATACTTGTAACATTAGCACTCTGGAGGCTGAGGCAGGAGAATCGGCAGGAGTTCAAAGCCAGCCTGAACTGCATGGTGAAACCTTGTTTCAGAAAAACCCTGGGGGCCAGGGAGTTAGCTCAGTGGTACTACATCTGCCTCGCAAGCACAAGGTCCTGAGTTTGATCCCCTGTGACAAACAAACAAACAAACAACCCGGAAAATAAAAATAATTAAAACAAGCAAAAGCAGTACCATGAGAGGAAATATTTGGGATAGGGGATTAATGTGCTTAAAAAAAAATTAGCATGTTTGTTTGTTTATTTGTTTAAATAAGTTAGCACAAACCAAGATTTTAAGTGGAAAAAAGCTATTTTAAAAAAGTCCATTGGCTCCAGGTGAATAGGACAGGCACTGTGTACCCAGAGTACAGCCTGTTGATTAACCAGAACACACCAAAAGCTCAGCTGAAGCCAGGTGTGGTGGTGCCCGCCTGTAATCCCAGCATTCAGGAGGCTGAGGCAGGAGGATCGCTGTGAGTTTGAGACCAGCCTGGGCTACACAGTGAGTTCCAGATCAGTCTCAAGTACATGGTGAGACCCTGTCTCAAAAAAAAAGTAATAATAAAATAAAATAAACCAGCTCAGCAGGCACGGGGTGGACTGCTGAAGGTGATTGCTGAGTTAGATGCCACTGGGCCCTAGGGTTTGGGGTGCCAGCAATGCTCTGGGGCTCCCGCCTCTGCCTGAGGGAGTGGAAATTGGTTTCTTGAAGGGCAATGTGGCGCTTGTTGCAAAATGTGAACCGCACATTTTCAGGCAGTTCCACGTGTTAGCAGCTGTCTAGGAACTCCAAGCTCACTGAGGGGTGAGGATGGGATGTGCACTACAGCTGTGTGTAAGCGCAAAAGCGTAGGAAGCCACATAAATGTAGAGAATTGGTGAAATCGAGTAGATTTAGGATTCTGTCCCAACGTGAGCACAGTCATGGAGAGAGAGACCTTGGGGCGGGCTCGGGGCAGCACCCACAGTGACAGGCAGTCAGCCCAGCAGGGTGTTAACCCCCAGGCCGCTCTGATCAGCAGGCTGGGGTTCACAGAAGGAGTTGAGGCAGGGGACTTGAGTTTGCCCACCTCCTTTGCTTGAGTTGCAGGGGAACCGAAACTTGCCCTCTACTCATGAAGGTTTGATAATTTGAGTCTCGCCCACAGAGTGACAGAAGGATTCGCAGGAGAAAAGGCACATGAACTGTTTCCTGCAAGAGCCTCACAAAATATGACTCAGAGAAGGGCCTGGTGATTGAAGTTGTTATGCTATGCTGAGGCTACAGGAAAGAATAGGGCCAGCACTCCCGAGGCTGAGGCAGGAGGAGCTCTGTGAGTTCGAGGCCAGCTTGGGCTACATAGCTAGACCTTGTCAAAAACAAAACAAACAAGCAAAAACCTAAATGACAGCTGTGCCAAAATCTCTGGGTGAGGCGTCTCCTTGACCAGTCCTAGATGCAGACAGGAAATGAGGTATTGCAAAGTGAGTCCTTGGTACCTGGCTTTTGGAGAAGGCTGCACATTTCTTTTACAAAAGGACAGTTTCTCAGCTATTCCTGTGCCTGCAGTTTCTCTGAATAGCCATCTTGAAATAAGCCAAAGAAGCATATTTTGAGTTGTCCTATTTTGGTCTTCCACGGAATTTTTACAGAGGAAAAAAAATGTTTTCATATTCCATTTATACAACTGAAAAAAATTTGCCAGAAAAAAAAATTTTTTCTTTTGCTTTTGAAGGGATCGATAGGTTAATTTCTAAGAAAGCAAAAGCAAATCCAGAGAAAATGGGGGCCTTGCCAGACTTTTGAACTTAAATTATCTCTTTGGAGGCTCGCACACTGGAATCCTCAAGGCAGATGATGAGGTGATGTGTGTCAGGCCCCGGTCATCTCCAAACACCATTTCCACAGGGTGTGGGGCTCAGCCTTCCCCTGCGTGACAGGTGGGAGCTGCTTGTCACCATAGCCGGTGACAGGGTGGAGATGGTGGGGACGTTGAGTAGTAGCAGCATTGCTGATTTTTAGAGGGGTGGAGTACTGGGGATTGAACCGAGCTCTTTTATGCTGAGCTACATTGTGCCCTCTTTTTTAATTTGAAATTTTGAAATAAGGTCTCCGTAAATTGCCCAGCCAGGGCTCAAACTTGGAATCCTTCTGCTTCAGCCTCCCATGGAGCCTGCCATGCTGATACTGTTAATGGAGACACTGTCTACGGCCCTCCCACCCTGAATGTGGCTGATCTGCTCTGTTAAAGGCGATGCTATTACTGGTGTAGAGGAGGCGGTGGCTCCGGGAGTGTTGGTGATGGTAGCAGTGGTGAACTTTGAACGGGTAGAAAATCAAGGTCAAAAGCAGATGTACCCTGGCTATGTGCTGAGCAAGGGACAAGCGAAGGGTCATCCCTTGGTTGGTGATAACTCTTCCTGCTTTGTTTGGTACTCAAGGTAATCTTACCTGTGTCTGATTTTCTCATCCTACTCCAGCAGGGCAGAGCAGTACCTTACCTTTGTTTTTAGGTTTTTTTGAGACCGCGTCTCACTATGTCGTTGAGACTGACCTGGAACTCACTATGCAGCCAGGCTGCTCTTAAATTCACAGCCCTCCTCCTGCCTCAGCCTCCCGAGGGCTGGGATTACAGGCGTGCGCCACCACGCCCGGCTTGCAGTACATAATGTTTACATTCCTTGTGGGGAGCTGGTACACATAACACATCCTAATTCTTATCTTCTTTCCCTTTCTCTCCCTTCTCTTGCCCGGCCCTCCATCTCTTGATCCCCTTAGCAAGATAGAAAGATCTTTCTCCCTACTTCTATTACCTATTATTTGATTTATACTTTGGGTTTCTCGATATTTAAGTTTGTGTGTCTGGTTTATTTCTCTTAACACTGTGGTCTCAAGGAGTGTCTGGGTTACTTTCTTATTGCTGGGACACCATACCCAGCACCCTCAAGTTAAAGCAGGAGAAGTTTATTTTGACTCTCAGTGAGTAGAGGTTTCAGCGTATAGTTGGCTGGTTCCAAGTCATGGGGCTACAGAGGGGAAACAGTCCATTGGCATGGCAGGCAGGAAGCAGGGAGGGAGAAGGGAGGAGGAGGAAGAGGGGGAACATATACTCCTCCAGGCCACGCCCACAGTGACCAGCCTCTTCCTACAAGGCTTCACCTCATTTCACACCCAGCCATAGACCCATCAGTGGGCTGACCCAGTGCCGCACACCCAGGATCCAGTCACCTCCCCAAAGCCCCACCCACCTGTGAACGCGTGAGGCTTTAGGAGGACGTCTCGCTATAAACCGTAACAAGATGCACCCATTTTCCTACAAATGACTCAAGTTTGTCTTTTTATGGCAGAGGAAGATAAAACTCTTGAAATGGTAGGCGTAGGAAAGGACTTTCTAAACAGAACTCCAGTTGCACAGGAAACAGTACCCAGAACCATCAAATGGGACCATATCAAATTAAAAAGTTTCCGCATAGCAAAAGAAACAAGCAAAAGAGTAAATGAGGGTGGCGCCTTGTTAACAACCATCACCTGCGCCCAGCAGCACACCTGGCTGATCTGGGACTTGATGCCAGGCAGGCAGGGTCCAAGTTCTGCTGCTCTGTTCACTGGCTGTGTGAGTTCAGACGAGCAGCTGCAGCCCTCTGAACCCGGTCACCAAGCAGCCCCGATGAGTGTCCCCACTGGCCAGGTGCTACTCCAAGCCCTGGGGCTGTGGTGCTGGACACAGTGCTCTTGGTCTCAGTCGTCACGGAGCCTGGGTTCCAGCAGGAGAAACCTACAGTGAGCCCGAAACTTGAGCTCTCAGTGCCTGAGCCAAGCAGGGTGACCTGAGGGAGTTGACCTGGGCTGTCTTAGCGGGCGTTTGTGCTCAGGATGGCTTCTTTGTGGGTCTGAGACTTCAGAACGCCACCCCAGGTAGAGACCTGGGAATTGTAGCTCACATGTGTGGTGGCTCAGGCCTGTAATCCACCCAAGGATAAATCGACATACAGAAAACACCGATTTAGCAGGAGGTTAAAAGAAAGCTGGGTGTGGTGACACACACTTATAATCTCAACACTGTAGGAGACTGAGGCAGGAAGATGACACGTTCAGGTCCTCCCTTCTACTTAGTGACTTAGCTAGATCCTGTCTCAAAAATAAAGGGCCAGGGATTTAGCTCAGTGGTGCTGCTGCCTGCCTCGACAAGGTCCCGAGTTCAATCCCCAGTACCAATAAATAAATAAACGGATGGATGGTGCTAAGGATGTAGCTCAGTATGAAGGCCCTGGGTCAACCTCTAGTATGGCCAGAAGGGAAAAAGAAGAAGAGTAGCTCAAGGCAGGTCCGCAGTGAGGCGGAGAGCGGCTTGGGGTAGGGTCTACTTCGTACAGAGTCCCCCAGGTGTGGGTCCCTGTCTCCTTGCGGTGGGAAGCAGCCAGCCCAGGGTTTTAAGCTGCGGGCCAGGGAATATTTTGGAAGAGAGCAGGAAACCCGTGGGTGGGAGAGAGGGACCAGGCAGGAGCAGCCCTAGATTTTGAAGCGCAGAGTGGGTGGGACGTGATCGTGGGAGAGGCGGGTTTACAGGGAGGACTCGAGCTATTTTTGGCCGTGTGGGTTTTGAGATGCTCACAGCTGCCCCTGACGCCCTTGTCCAGAAGGGCAGTGGTGCTGCGCCCCGGCGCCTGGGGGGCGCCTGGGGGACGGAAGCAGCAGCTCCCTGCAGCCAGGCCGCCCTATTCCTCCTCCCCTGTCGCCCAGGTCCCCTGTGAGGCCAGTTCGGTCAGCATGGTGGCCAAGCTCAGCCAGCTGACAAGTCTGCTGTTCTCCATCGAAGACAAGGTACCAGGGCTCCGTGGCTTCTGGGGGCCCCTCTTTCTGCACAGAGAATCCCAGCCTTAGCCTCTGTGTCCCCTTGACACTTGTTGCTGCTGCCCACAGGTCAAGGCCTTGCTGCACGAGGGGCCTGAGCCTCCTCACTGGCGTTCTGTCATCCCTCCCGTCACGTTTGAGGTGAGTAGTCTTGGTGCCCCGGGCCTTGTGCTCCACACTTGGGGAACGGATATCCGGGTCCCCTGGAAAGAGGCTTTTGGGCTTGGGCTGCAGAAGGGCAGGGACCCCAGTGGTGGAGAATGGTAGTGGGTGGGGCCTCCCAGCTGGGGCAATTTTGACACAGTTGAGTTGCTGCCAGGAAGCACCTGTGACGCCCCCTTGAGGAGGGGGTGAGAGGAGAGCTCCTCGCTGGCCCTGGGGTGAGGCATGGGGTGGTTGAGAGCACGAGAATTCCTGTGATTTCTCTGAGAGGGGCTGATTGGAACCTCCAGGCTTGGATCCAGAAATGGGTTTTGCTTCTTGAGTCCACTGTGATTCTTGTACATCTAGCCCAGCCTGCCTGGTCCCAATTGTTGAGAAACACACTCACTATCTCTCCCCCACCCCATCGTCTGTCTGTCTCTCTCTCTCCCCTGACCCTGGAAATACTCCTGTAAAAGACAGGTTTCCATTTTCCAAGCACACCTAGATACCCGCCCCCCAGTTATCAGTAAGTGTTCAATTAATGGTTGTAACAGGGCCCCAGAGTTTAGCTCTGTGAATGACTCCAATCCTTTCTGGAAGTAGCTGGCACCTCCAGTTAATGAGTGCTGGCCGAGCAATCGGGACGTGAACCATTTTCCCCACACTTCATCTGTTTCCTCCACCAACCCCGTGGGTGGAACTGCTTTGATGTGTGGAGGGTGAGGGATTCACCAGGAGGCTGGGGAAGGTGTACAGGTGGGGAAAGGGTACTCACGTCCCCACACGGCCTTGTAGCCTCGGGGCTCACAGGTTGGTGTTGCCAAAGTGGACCCAGAACATCAATGAACCACATCTGTCTCTCCTCCCAGGTGAAGGCGGAGTCTCTCGGGATCCCTCCGAAAATGCAGCTCAAAGTCGATGTGGAGTCTGGGAAGCTGATCATTAAGAAGTCCAAGGACAGCTCCGATGACAAGTTCTACAGCCACAAGAAAAGTAAGGACCCCCGTGCCCACCGTGCTCTGGTTCCCCTGGGGCTTCTAGGGGCGACAGGAGGTGACAAGCAATAGTAGACTGATGACAGCAGACGGTGGGGAGAAGAAGCGGAACCTGCCAGGCACGTTGCACCCCTTTGCGAGGATGATTCCCACCCTGGCCACATACGCCCCACCCTGCCTATGGGAGTCCTGTCTGGCTCTGAGGTCGTCTCCGGGGGGCTTCCCCTGCCCGCTGTGAACCCCAGGGGGAGCCTACCCCTTGCTGGGCATGCTTGGCACATCCTGCGGCAGGTGCACGTGTGTGTATGTAGAGTGGTTCCATTTGTTCGTACATGACAGTGTCTCTTCCCCACACACAGCCAGTCCGACCCACACAGCCACCTGCCATGTCTGGTGCAGGCCCTGGCCAGACAGCATGGCGTCCCTGGCCAGTGGTGTCTTTATCGTAGCACAGACTGACTGGAGCTGATGCTTGCGCATTCTGGAAGGCAGCTGTGCAAATTCACATCCCAGCTCTACAGCGGGTCTTGGAGTTTGTCACGTCCAAGCTGCCTTAGCAGCTGTGTGATCTTGGCCTGCTTCTCCGGGCCTGTTTCCTTTGGTGTAAATCAGCGATGAGGAAGAGCCCGCCACATGGCCTTCTCCGAGGCCAGCTGGGATCCTTGGGCTTGAGCTGCTGAGGCATTATCTCTTGCACTGTTGGGTAACCTCGCCCACAGATGGGGAACTCTTCACCCAGCAAATGCGTACGGAGAAGTTGCTTTGGGCAGGAGCCCAGGCATCCAGGCAGTGGGTGGACTGAGGAGGTCCCTGTCCCTGTGGAATTTTCATTCTGATGCATTGAATGGCCAGTAAATACTGAAATAAATGTATTAATGCAGTGGTTTCAGCTACTGCAAAGTGCTGTTGGGAAAACAGAACTGAACAGTAGGGTGGAGAGTGGCTGGGAAGAGGGAAGGGTTTTTTTGTTTAATTTGGTTTTGGTTTGGTTTTGGTTTTGGTGTTTTGAGACAGAGTCTCACTGTGTATTCTAGGCTGGCCTTGAACCACTGTGTAGTCCAGGCTGGCCTTGAACTTGCAGCAATCCTCCTGCCTCAGCCTCCTGAGTGCTATGATTTACTGGTGTGCAACCCCAGTTGCTGAGGGTTGCTGAGGGCAGGACCCAGGAACACTGACTTCCTGGTTAAGAAGCAGCCAGTTGGACAGGAGCTGGGGGAAGCATCCAGACCGGGGAATGACAGGCGCAAATGCTCTGAGGCCACAGGAGCAGAACCTTGAGGGAGAGCGGAAAGGGCCTCGCTAGGGAAGAGAGGAGTCCTGAGCTGGGGGTACTGGGTGCCAGCCTCATCAGAATGGTGACAAGTTTAGATCCGAGTGCTGGATCTCAGTGCTGTTGCACAGGGGGCCTTGGAGGGGTGGGAGAGGTGGTGCTCGCGGTGGCAGCAGGGAGCCAGCCCTTCCTGTGGTCCTTGTTTCCACCTGGCATTGGGTCCAGGTGGGCGCTGGCAGGCTCAGGGTCGGGGAGCCGTGCACGGAGTCTGCTGTGCGTGCGGGCCTGGAGCTTCCCGGCCATCCCCAGCTCCAGCTGATGGCAATGTCTCTTCCTGCAGATAGTCACTGGATCTTAGCCAAAAGGCCGAGATGTGGCCATCACTGGACCTGTAAAGGCTTTAGACCTCCCCTCAAAAGAACGCCCACCTTCATAACAGCTTGTGTCCCATTTCAGGTACCTCCTGGTAACCACACGCCCTCAGGTGTATAGTAGCGTTCCTCTTCCTTCTCCTCCTGTTTTTGCACTACTGGTGAGCTACATCCACAGGCCTTGCTATTTTTTATTTTGAGTCAGAGTCTTACTAAATTCCTCCGGGCCCCGAACTTGTATAAGTGTGTCCCATGCAATATTTGGGATATAGTTATGTCTTGAAAAATCATTCTGTTATTCCGAAATTTCTCTTTAAGGGGCTGTCCTGTGTGTTTGGTGATTTCATCCAGGCAGGATCAGCATCTTTTGTTCTTAGGTGGAATGGGAATAAAAAAAGCATAAAAAGAAAATATAAAACCAGGCATATAATCCCAGCACTCTGGGAGGCTGAGGCAGGAGGATCACGAGTTAGAGCCCAGCCTGGGCAAATTAGTGATTTATGGAGAACCTGTATCAAAATAAAAAATGAAAAAGGGCTGGAGATATAGCAAGTCCCTAGGGTCCTGGGCATAGGCCCCACCCAGCCTCTCTCCAGCCATGAAATCTGTGCAGTTTGCCCCTGCGGGCAGGGGATACCCTGGGGCAGAAGGCAGTAGGGGTGTAGGAGGTGGGGTGTGGTGGGGGAAAGGTACACAGGGTATGACCAAACTGCAGTGAATGCTTAAATTTTAAAAACTTGTTGCAGTAAGTGACGCACACCCACGAATGGCCCTCATAATCCTCCTCGTTTCAGACCCCACCGTCCTTGCCCCTTTCTGAAGCAGTTCTGGAAATCCTCTTTCTTGAGTGTCTGTATGAGAGGTGATCCTAGGGAGTGCTGCTGCCGCCCAAGCAGAGGCGAGCTCATGAAAGCCCCACAGGGTATCCTCGTACACCTCATCTGCCAGATCTGGCCCTGTGCGACTTCTGGCTCTTCCCCAAGGTCAAGATGACTATAGAGATCTGCCTGTCCTCCCCCGCAACCCCGTTTACTCTCCTGTCCCTGAGAGAGCAGCGGTGTGCTGCAGGGCCGCAGTGAGGCTTAAAGGGAACAGCGAAGTACCCGGTAGCTGGCATCGGGGTGCTCCGGACAGTGGGGCCGGTCTTCCAGGGTTGCCGCAGGGAGGCCGCAGTGGCGTCGTGGGTCGGGGTGACTGTGACAGGCTGTCATCTTCCTGTGGGGGGGGCGCTGATGGATTGAGTGGGATTTATGCTGGATTGTTTAAGTCCCAAAAGCTGATGTTGATGTAGTGTAAAGAGGGACAACTGCACACAATCAGCGCACACCCTCTAGAGGCCCCAGCTCCGCCCCTACTCAGTGTGGCTCCCTCTGTCCCGACTCCTATCCTCTAGGGACAGCATGGCCTGCTGCCATCCAGCTCTGTGCAGACCCGGTATCCAGAGGGCCCACTCAAGGGTGCCCAGTTGTCTGGATGCTCCCTTACTGCTCATAAATCCCAACACCCCCTTGCCACCCCACATTAACGTGCACGCCATGAAGGCTAGGATGTGGCTCTCTCGCTCACCACAGAGCAGTGCTTGGCAAGGTGGAAGTGATGCATGAATGCATCCTGATTTGTTTGTTTGTTTTGAGACATGGCTCACTGTGTAGCCTGGGCTGGCCTTAAACTGGAGGTGATCCTCCTGCCTCAGCCTCCCTAGTACTAGGATGCCAGGAGGGTGCCACGTGGGGAGCTTCTAGTTTTATTCACGTGATGTGGGGAAAATGAGCCATTTACTGCCCCAGATGGAATAATCGTTCTGATCAGCAACCAGAGACCTGCAAGCAGATGTCAGGGCAAACCAGTTCAGGGGGAGGAGCCGCGGCCTGAGAGTAGAAGACTGGGAAAGTCCTAGGGCATCTGGGGTTCGGTGTTGCATACCATGTCATAGGTACTGAGTGCAAAGCCTGCGGGATTCCCCTATGGTGGGATTCCTAGCTGCAGTAGGAGCTGGGTGTGGTAGCACACGCTCATAACCCCAGCTACTTGGGAGGCTGAGGCAGGAGGATCGCCTCCAGTTTAAGGCCAGCCTGGGCTACATAGTGAGACCTTGTCTGAAAAAACAAAAGACAGCAGTTGATGTTTCTGCTATTGTAACTTCTCTTTGGAAACCAGCACTCGTGTGAGAACAAGAGAAAAAAGGACCAAGACAGGATTCCGACAGCTGGGAGGCAGATGGATAATAAAGCCTGCTCACAGGAACCAAATTACCGAACTCTAAGCATGTGGTTGGGGAAACAGACCCTGACTCAGCCCACAAAGGACCAGGGAGCATCGGGGTGGGGCCTGGGGGCCCTGGGGCTGGAACGTGGTGGATGTATGAATGAACTTCCATTTTCCTTAAGTCCTGCAGCTCATCAAGTCACAGAAGTTTCTGAACAAGTTGGTGATTTTGGTGGAGACGGAGAAAGAGAAGACCCTGAGGAAGGAATATGTTTTTGCTGACTCTAAAGTAAGTGACAGTGAACTTCTTTCTACAAGGGGCTGGGGAGGGGGGCAGCCCGGGGGTGGCCTCTGTGCGGCCAGAGGCCGGTTGTCTGCCACCCCATCATCCACCTGGGAAATCCCAACCATAACCACGTGAGGGGGCTCACACCTGTAATCAACATTCTTTCCGGCTGAGGCAGGAGGATCTCTAGTTTAAGCCCAGCCCTAGCAATCTAGTGAGACCCTGTGCAAAATAAGATAAGGGCAGGCATCTGGGGAGATGGGAGGACGCTCTGGGGGTGATGCAGTGGGCAGGACAATGTGGGAATGATGAGAACAAGGACATGGTGGCCAGACAGGTGACAGGAGGTAGAGAGAAAAATCACCTTGCTGAGCAGTGTCCTGATGCACGAGCGTAGATCCCAAACCCGGCAGCATAGTTCTGCCCGTTGCTGCAAGCTCTGGAGGGTTGAGACACTGAATCGTGAGCCACTGCCAACTCCAGTGTCCACAGAGATGGCCACCATCAGTCACAGCTTCGTGACCCGGAGTCCTCAGAGGGAACTCACTGAGATCGCAGTAAGGAATTCGAATCTTGTGACATTGCCAGCTGTGTTAACGTGAAGCAGTCAGAGGTCTGTCCTTCGTATGGCCGGACTTGAAAATTTGTGTCCTTTTGTGGCATTTAAAGTCAGGCTCCCCCACTGACTGCATCCTAAGAGAGCGGTGAGCCTGCGTGTGCCACTGTAGACCCAGGAAGAAGAGGTGAAAAGGTGGAAGGCAGCTGTGACAGCCTTCACGTGCTCTTTTCTTTTTACTTAGCCTCTGCAACTTAAAATTTCTTTCACTACATAAGTTATCATCTATTCGTACTAGTGAAGTGGTAACAAATACAAATAAGCACAGATTTAAAATGAAACCAAGTCTAAAATAAAAACGCCTGTATACCACTAGTATACCTGACCAGATGTGCGCTTTCTTTCTTTTCTATTTTCTTTTTTTTTTTTTTGGTACTAGGGATAGAACTCAGGACCTTGCACCTGCCAGGCAGGCGCTGTGCTGCTGAGATAAATCCCCAGCTCCTTTTTCTCTTTTTTCTTTTCTTCTTCTTTTTTTTTTTTTAAGGGTGTGGTATTTTATGTTTTTGTTTTTGTGTTTTTTGAAACAGGGTTTCACTATGTAGCCCATGCTGGCCTTGAACTCACAGCAATCTTCCTGCCTCAGCCTTCTGAGTGGTAGGATTATGGGTGTGAGCCATTCCACCTGGCTTTCCAGATGTTTTTTACAAATCAAAAATACATGATGAAAACCGGGCGTGGTAGCACACATCTGTAATCCCTGCACTTGGGAGGCTGAGGCAGAAGGATCACTGTGAGTTCGAGGCCAGCCTGGGCTACATAGTGAGTTCCCAATCAGTCTCAACTACATAGTGAGATCCTGTCTCAAAAAACAAACAAAAAAATACACGATGACATTCACACCATTTTATCACATAATTTTTCATGTGTAATGATATATTTTGGTTGTCTCTCTCTTTTGACAAAGTGCTTCTGCATTGGTTGGTAAACCCTGTGGTACCCCTCGCTCATGGATGTCCATAGTAATTACGACTCCCCCAGGACTGGGCATGAAGCTTGCTCCTGAGTCTGGATCCCCGCATTGCTTTGCAGGGCCTCGTTAAGGTGGGGTCTTTTGCAGATTTGGATATTTTTTCTAGACACACCCCCTCCTTGCACTGGGTCCACATGGCTGGGTCAGAGAAGCCCTTGCCCTGGCCTTTGCACACCTGATTCCAAGCTGCTGCCTGGCAAGTGTGCACTGTCCACACTCCCCTCAGTGCTCTGGGTGCTGACCGAGTCCTTTGCAAAGTGCGAGGCAGAGGCCATGCTCAGTCTTGCCCGTTCTACCCGCAGAAGAGGGAGGGCTTCTGCCAGCTCCTGCAGCAGATGAAGAACAAGCACTCGGAGCAGCCAGAGCCGGACATGATCACCATCTTCATTGGCACCTGGAACATGGGTGGGTGCCCCGCCCAGCCCTGCCTTCCAGGGCGCTGTCTTCCCACCTGATCCATTTGTGGGCAGGGACACCCTGGGCCCCTTTTCTCATAACAGGAAAATGCACTCTTGAGACAGCTGCACCCCAAGAGTAGCCAGAGGGGGTTGCTTCCAAATTGGAGGGTTTTATGTGAAGAATTGGACTATCTAGATGAAGGGGCTGATATCTTAGGAAGCTCACCAAAGGATAAGGGGCCCAGGCCTGAAGAAAACAGTCCACCCTGGGCCAGTCGTGATGGCACACGCCTGTGAACCCAGCACTGGGGAGGCTGAGGCAGGAGGATCACCCAAGTTTGAGGCCAGTCTGGGCTACATTGCAAAGCTTGTCTCAGAGACAAACAACAAAAAGAAGTCTACCCCCAATTTATTCAGAGAGAGAGAGAGGTAGACAGAGGATTCCCAGTTTTATTTGAATTTTGTATAAAGAACAAATAAGTTTTTAATATGGGTTACTTGGCTGGGAATAAATAATACCAAACATAACTGCTCATTGAGCATTTATACTAATATGCTAATCATTTTACACACTAAATACTCATCTGCTTGGAAACTTACGGAATTTATTGATACATTTTGATGCACCCAAACTAGAGCTTGTCCATGTCAGTGACCTCATGACTTGCCGCCCTTTTAGACAAAATAACTTGTTTGGCCCTTGTCGCACTCCCGGCACTAATAAATGATGAGTACCCAGGTAGGCACCACCGTAGATAACATGTAAACTAAGTAGAAATCATACTAAGTACTTAGTGAGCATATTCAGCTAAAAATAGAGACTGAAGATACAGTGATGGCTAGACAGGCTGTGTGTGTTCTATTAAGTAAAGTCAGACTAAGTATTCAGCTAGAAACAAGCCAGCAGGGAGGAGATGCCCAGGTACATCCGACTCCGCCCTCGTGCTGCAGCTGTCCTGCTGCACAAGGGCCGGGGCCGAAGGCATGGGAGGAGGTGGCTGGGACCCTGCTGCACCCGGGCAGGGTGGAAGGGGCTCCACAAGCGGTCACCTGCCAGCCCTAGCTGTTCCTGCACCACTGGGCATCCTGGGGGAGCAGATGCCCGAGGGTCAGGGCCATGGCGCAGTTTGTATGGCTGCCCTGATGCATAGCAAGGCATTGGCCACCTTGTCCAGTGAGCTCAAGCCACCACCCGGAATCTCCTGGGGTTCTGGGTCTTTGGGATTTAACACCGTCTTTCACCAGAGACTTCCCTGAGATCTGACCCCTAAGTGGCATCCCGGGCACTACTGGTACTTAGATCCCTGTGGTCTAAAGCCTTTGCCTGAAGGGCTCCACGTGACCCCTACCCTGCCCTTTCCACATGACCACGTGGCCTCTCCCCTGCCCTGTCCATGTGACCATGTGGCCCCTCCCCCTGCCGATTTCCAGACAAGCCTCTGACTCACGTGGTGTTGGGTTTTGCTGTTGAAGGTAACGCCCCCCCTCCCAAGAAGATCACGTCCTGGTTTCTCTCCAAGGGGCAGGGAAAGACGCGGGACGACTCTGCAGACTACATCCCACATGACATCTACGTGATCGGCACCCAGGAGGACCCCCTGGGAGAGAAGGAGTGGCTGGAAATACTCAGACACTCCCTGCAAGAAGTCACCAGCATGACTTTTAAAACAGTGAGTGTGTGGGACTCCGGGACTCTGCTTGGTGAGGAGCATCTCAGAGGCCAGGGTAGGCTTGGCTAGCAACTCCCCATTTCCAGAGATATTTGGAGCCTCAGTGGTCCCCAGTTCCAGAGCCAGAGATGCACATGGAGGCCCTACTCAGAAGCTGGTGGTGCCTACGGTCTCACCTTTAAGATTCTTTGCCTCATTGCTGGCCTCACTAAGTTACCCCATCTAAGGTTTGCGAGCAGAGCACCCTGCTCCCAGGCACCAGGGTTGGGGCAAACCACTGTGCTCTGGGCGCCAACACGGCACCTTCGCCAGTGTGGCAACGCTGTCCCCCCAGGTTGCCATCCACACACTCTGGAACATCCGAATTGTAGTGCTGGCCAAGCCGGAGCACGAGAACCGGATCAGCCACATCTGCACCGACAACGTGAAGACAGGCATCGCCAACACCCTGGGTGAGCGGGCAGGAGAGCTGGTCCCCCATGGCACACCCTGCCGTGTCCTCCCCACCTGGGGTCACCCTCTGAGAGTCTGGCACTGGCACGCCCGGGTGTTGGTCCTGGTAGCTGGAACCGGCAGGGGTCCATGCCAGCTCTGGGATCTGTTTCTGACGCTCTGGGTCTCAGGTGGAGGCCAGGATGCCCAGTCCAGCTGGGGACACCAGCGCTGACACCCAGGCCGTGGACCTAGAGCCCAGAACAGGGTGGGCAGGCACCTGCTGGGAGGGCCAGGTAGGCGCTCTTCCAGGCTCTGTGGGCCACACGCCAGGGCTTACCTCTGCCTTTTTGGCCAAGAACTGCCACAGCCAACACGATGAGCGGGGGAGGCTTTGTCATCGAGGCTGGCACTGTCCACAGGCTGTAGCTGCCACCTCCGTCTAAGTTTTGGACTCCAACCACAGTGCCCCAGAGAACAGAGATAAGAGCGGGAAGCCTGTGTGTGGGCGTCTATGAGTGAGTGTGTGACCCTGTCTGGGTGTGAGTGTGAGTGCACGCTTGTGGGAGGGTTGACATTGAATGCATGTGCGTTTGTGTGAGTCTGTGTGTCACCCTGTGTGTGAGTGTGTACTTATGGGTGTGTCACTCTATTATGTGTCCGAGAGTGTCCAGGTGTGTGTGTGTGCGTGTGGATATACCCAGGGCTGCTGGTAGGGCCAAGGGGCAAAGCCAGCAGCTTCCGGTGGTTGGAGCTGGACGGGACAGTCCCAGAGATAACAGGAAGCAGGGGATTGCTGCAGTCACACATGCAAAGGTCCAGGCTTCCCTGCCTGCAAACCTCCAACTGCCCATGTCCATGCCTGCAAGTTCCTCCATCCTTCCTGCCCAGGGGAAGTGTGGGCTGCGGGAATTTCCGGTGTTTGGATTCCATTGCTCCCTGGGCCCTGCCCACAGGACAGAAGTCACTCAAACAGAACTGCACCTCCTCTGCCAGGCCCTGCCCCAGCCGGTACCCAGCTCTGGGCCAGCAACCTGGGCTATGGCGGTCGGGGCTGAACGGACGGAGTTACCAGGGCACGGGAGTCTGATTCTCCACAGGTCTGTGGGCTCCAACAGATGGCCTGAAAGGAGACAGGTGGCCAGAAAGTGGTTTCCGGGGCGACCACGTGGGAGCCACAAGGGGAAGTCAAGGGCTCCGCCAGGCTGAGGGAGCTGAGGTCCAAGGGTGAGGAGGGTGGCAGCCTGGCACTCAGGAACCACAGGTGGCTTGTGGCTTCTCAGACTTCAGTGGGCTCGGAGTCGCAGGGAGCAGGCGTCTGCAAACTGTGAGAAGCAGGTGATGACTCTTGTCAGTCCTAGGCACTGTGCAGCTCTGCGCAATGACCCCACCCTGGCCTAGCCTAAAAGCGGCTTCACAGAGGCAATACTTAGAGAACGGGCAGAACTGTGTCCTCATAAAATGGCGTTTGTGAACACAGAAATCCTTTGTATTTTAATGTGTCGTGAAAGATTATTTTTCTTTTGATTTCATTTCCCCAACCACTTAAAGATGTCAGATGCCATTTTGAGCCAGTAGTGGGCCAGTTCCCAGACCTTCTTGGGCCCCGGAACCTCTGGTCCAGCGGGTCTGGTGTTTCTGCTCCCAGCAAGTTGCCAGGTGGTCCAGGGAACTCACTCTGAGCCACCCGTCCAGAATAGCTCCAAAGGAGGGGAGGCAGGGGATTTAGCTCAGTGGCACCACACTGCCTCGGGAGTGCAAGGTCCTGAGTTCAATCCCCGGTACCAGAAGACAAGAAAAAAAAAAGGAAAAAAAATGAGCCGTGAACAAAGTGTGCTCTTGGTGAGGGTCCTCGGGCAGTCGGGAGAAGCCCAGGATGGCTGGCTTCCACCTGTCACCCCAAGGGGCCCTGGTTGCTTCTCTTTTTATTAATATCATCGTTCCCCCCTGCATTTCCCACCACTTGCCACACATGTCTATCTGATACTCTGATTTCTTCTTTCTCTTCCCTCTCTTTAGGGAACAAGGGAGCAGTGGGAGTATCGTTCATGTTCAACGGAACCTCCCTTGGGTTTGTCAACAGCCACTTGACTTCGGGAAGTGAAAAGAAACTCAGGTAACAGGATCCCTGCCTGTGTTTGGGTCCCTCAGGCTCCAGATACCCCAGTCCCCTGCTCAGTCTGGGATCACATGGTGACACGTAGCCCTTAGGGGCTCTTCCCTGGCTCAGCAGAAACAGCAGCAGTTCTGCGGGGGGCCTCAAGCGCGGTGACTCTTGTCTGGAGGACAGGGAAGGTGTCTGTGTCATAGCCCGCTGGACAAAGAACACCACCCCCTGTCCACAGGATCGCCTCAGCTGGACATCCTTCCAGATAAAGCCCATCCAGCTGTGTGGCCCAGGCAGGAAGACAGCCATGTAGATTAGACACTGTTCCCAGTGCCCGCTTGGCGGGTCCCACTGCTTGGCTTTGACCTTTCGAGCTCCTGGCCTGGCCTCAAAGCCCCTTTGCATCCTGCCCTGCCCACCTGCATGCCTAGGAGGTCCGCTACAGCAGGCTGGTGGTCTGGTGCCCAGGTCCCCCAACATTTCCCGCTTTTCTTTCTATCTTTCTTTCTTTCTTTTTTTTTTTTTTTTTTTTTTTTTTTTTTTTTTTTTTTTTTTTTTTTTTTTTTTTTTTTTTGGACAAGGCTCTGCTGTGCAGTTTAGGCTGACCTGGAACTCACTATGTAGCCCAGGCTGGTCTCGAACTCACAGCGATCCTCCTGCCTCAGCCTCCCAAGTGCTGGGATTACAGGCATGCTCCACTATACCCAGCTCCCAAGCCCCTTTTGTCTTCTTGCCCTATGGGGTGGGAATCAGTGACCCCATGCAAGATGCCATTTTTTTCCTTGCATTAGGAGAAACCAAAACTATATGAACATCCTGCGGTTCCTGGCCCTGGGAGACAAGAAACTGAGTCCCTTTAACATCACTCACCGCTTCACCCACCTCTTCTGGCTTGGGGATCTCAACTACCGTGTGGACCTCCCCACCTGGGTAAGGAGCCTCCGCCTGGGCTGAGGAGAGGGGACAGGGACCCTGGGGGACGCGTGACTGTCCTGCAGTCCAGTGCTGTCCCATCCTGGGGCTTCAGCCTTTCCTTGGGGTCCCTTCTGGTCCCATGACTGTCATGGCCACTCCTCACGGTCACTACCTCAGGTCATCAAGCTGGCCAGTAACAGTCCTTCCTTCAGCTTGCAGGCCAGGTCTAGGAAAGGCACCTCTGTATCCAGATCAGGGAGCCCAGTGCCCGGGGAGTCAGGGATTGGCACAGGCTGTCTCCGTTTTGCAGAAAGAGTGAGAGGAAGTGAGGCAGGCAGACCTACCTGTTTCTTGAAGGATTAATAAAGTGTTATTAATTGTGTGGGGAGTACAATGGTGCACACTGCTATTCCCACCACTCTGGGAAGCTGAGACAGGAGGATCAAAAGTGCAGGCAACTTAGTGACCTAGCGAAAGTCTGTCTCAAAAGGCTGGGGATATAGCTCAGTGCGTTGGCCCTGGGTTTGATCCTCAGCACTGAAATAATAAATGAAAGATACTGAGTCAGTGTGCCAAGAACAGAAAATCCAAATTCGAATGTGGCCCAGTTGGGGACTTGAGTTGTCGGGATGCCACCGCCCTGTGGTTTCCCTGATTAAAGTTTGAGCACCAGGAAGCCGCAGCCCAGTTCCCCGGGGCCAGGAAAGGGACGTCTCACTGGGGTGCATCCTTGCTCCAGGAGGCGGAGGCCATCGTCCAGAAGATCAGGCAGCAGCAGTACGCTGACCTGCTGGCCCATGACCAGCTGCTCACCGAGAGGAGGGAGCAGAAGGTTTTCCTGAACTTTGGTGAGCAGTTCCTCGAGCCCCTGCCACCACCCTCTTTCTCCTGGGTGTCCTTGCTGGGGGAGGCCTGTGTCTACAGAGTCAGGAAACTGAGACTCCCATCTGTGTTACAGAGGAGGAGGAAATCACATTTGCACCCACCTATCGATTTGAAAGGCTCACTCGCGACAAATACGCCTACACGAAGCAGAAAGCAACAGGGGTGAGTGCTTCCAGGGGGTCCTCCTGGCTTCCTTGACCACCATCCAGCAGAAAAGGGAGAGAAAAAAGAAATTACTTGTTAATTTGTGTCAGAGCAAGAACTGGACAACCAACTTGGCCGCTGAAAAGAGCTGAACCAGCTGGGCCTGGTGGTGCACGCCTGTAATTACAGTATTCACAAGGCGGAGGCGGTAGGATCGCCATGACTTCGAGTCTAGGCTGCGCTGCATAGTTCAAGACCAGCCTGAGCTATATAGGGAGATGTTGTCTCTAAAAATTAAAACTAATAATAATAACGCTGGAGCTGAGCTAATGACCCTTATACTAAGGTTCTGAGAGAATATTCAATCTTTTTTTTTTTGTTTTGTTTTTTTGAGACAGGGTCTCACTGTGTAGTTCGGACTGCTCTGGAACTCTGTGTAGCCCAGGCTGGTCTTGAATTCGCAGCGATCCTCCTGCCTCAGCTTCCCGAGTGCTGGGATTCCAGGCGTGTGCCACCATACCCAGCCTTCAATCATTATTTTTATAATTAGATTCTGAAGCCTGTTTTTGACAAATAACAAACAAATCCAAGGTCCTGTTATCAAATATATTTTATTAATTGCCAAATGAATTAACATTAATAGATTTCTTCCCTCTGAAACTTAGGAGAGCCTTTATGGGCTTCAAAGAAGTACGGTTCTAGTTGGGGATTTAGCTCAGTGGTTCCAAAGCGCAAGGTCCCAACTTCGATCCCTGGTAGCACACACACACACACAAAAGCAAATTCAGTGAAACAATAGCAGAGCATTTTTCAAAGCATTATGGTTCTTAGTATCCTAGGAGGGCGCTTGTGTTCTAAGAAATACGGTTTGGGGACAGTGAAGTAAAACATTTATTTGTTCGTTTGTTGGGAGATCTCTCGTGATGGCCTACAGTGGGTTAGGTGCTCGCCAAGGTGACAAAAGTGGGGCTGAAGGAGCTGCCTGCCCCAAGGAGATTGTGATAGGAAGACAAGACAGGAGCCCATGTGACTGTCAGCTGAGACCGGAAGTGACCGTGGTGGGCAGGAAGGATTGGGAGGCTTCTCAGAGAGGTCTTAAAGAGCATCTTGGGTTTCTGCCAGCAGACATGGTGGTGGAGGGGCTGCTAAATTGGAGCCACCTTCCAGGACCCAACCCAGGGAGGTCAGCCCAGGGCAGGGTCCTGTGGGATGGTGGAGGACCCGGAAACCCTTGAGGCCAGGGACAATGGAGAAAATGAAAGAAAAGGAAAAAAGAGGATGTGTGGAGAGATCTGGCTGCCATTAATAAAAACTGGAAGACCAGAAGATGGAGCTGGTCACAGGGGAAATATAGAGCTTGTTTCCAGACATATTGATTGGGTGATATCAATAGGGAATCTGAGAGAAAATAGCCAGAAGGAGGTGGTTGAAAATGTGAGATTGGCACTAAAAGAGGAAAGTTGGATGGATTTGTGGATTTGGGAGTTCCCTGCTCAGAGGAGACAGTTGCATCCATTGGGTTAGATGAGATTGTGCAGAAATAAAAGCAGAAAGGCAAGAAGAGGAGCGGACAGGTTTGGGTGCCCTGCGCTCTGATGTTAGAGAAAGGAGCAGCACTCACAATGGAGGTGGAAGAAGAGTTGGAAGGGGAACCAGTATCCTCTGGGCCCTCGGCGTCATGGGGCTGAGGCCGAGACCAGGAAGCATTAGCGTTCAGCAGGACAGAAAGGCAGTCGAGGAGGAGGAGAACCAGGCACAAGGAGCTGGAGCAAAAGACACAGGGCTTTGGGTGGAGTCTTAGAGATGCACTCAGATCTCAAAAGGGTCAGGGTGGATCTTCCCCTGAGCGAGCAAGTGGGTCCCTGGTGCTTCGCAGGAATTCAGGTTCCTGGACCTCATCCCAGAGGCTCTGGGGCAGCAGGGCTGGTTCTGTGTGGTTCCAGAGGTCACAGGTGAACTGCGAGGTTAGGAAGTGAGGGTTTGGCAGCTTCTGTGAGAATGAACACATGTACTGCTGTATGAGTGAGAAATTGGCACATTGTCCTCCAATAGCGAGGCAGAGCAGTTCTGTCCCCTATCTCTACAAACCATCAACCCTGCATCCACTAACAAGTGTGGTGTATACACACAGTGGAATCCCCTCCAGCGCTAAGCAAAGGAACTTTCACAGGCAACAACAGGGGTGAAAAATCTGGGCATGGTGTCACATGCCAGTAATCCCAGCACTTGGGGCTGAGGCAGGAGGATCGCCATGAGTTCAAGGCCTATCTGGGCTACATAGTGAGTTCAAGGCCAGCCTGTGTGACATAGCAAGACCCTGTCTCAAAGAGACAAACTGCAGGGATCCAGGACGTCTGGAAGTGTGGGCATGGCAGTGAGATCGGGACTTTAAGCAAGTTAGAAGTGTAAAGCCACCTCCGAGTAAATTCTCTAAAAAGGCATTAGCAGATGATTTCCAGGATTGCTGGTGTCACCAATTAGCCCCATTTTTCTTTTTATTTCCTCTCTCTTTCTTGTCTCTCTCTATTTGATTTATTTTTTTTATCTTTCTTTTTTCTTACCAAACAAAAAGAAAACAGCGGCAGCCTGCTCACCACGCTTGTGACTTTGCTTTACAGATGAAGTACAACCTGCCCTCCTGGTGTGACCGAGTCCTCTGGAAGTCGTACCCTCTGGTGCACGTGGTGTGTCAGTCCTACGGTGAGTCCAACTGTGGCTTGCAAGAATGGCTCCAATGGGGGGGGGTGCCTCATTCTGCGCATCTGGGAAATGGGCGTGCTCCCCCCAGCCCTGCTCAGGTGACCAGAAAGAGCCTGTGTGCCGCCTCCACACCTAAGCAGTCCTGTGACCCCTTTCCCAGCCACAGCCAGGTTCATCACATCCATAGCCGCCTCCTGCTTCCTGCCTGTTCTCTCCCGGGGGAAGAGGCAGCCACCTGTCCTCACCAGTCTGCCCTTCGGGGAGCCGGGACACAGTGGCCGCTTGTAGGGTACCACTTCCAGCCTGGGAGCCTCAGCTGGGCTCCCGGGACTGCTGCCCAGGGCAGTGGAATACTGAGGTCCCCTCGGCTGGTTGTGAAGGGCAGAGAGGAAGCCAGGCTGCGGCTGAGGGGCTGCCACATCCTCCACCGGGCTGGGCAGGAAGGGAAGGGTGAAGGGAGGGAATTTCGCTAAGGACATTGAGGGCACGGTAGAAGGTTTCATGAGCTGGGGTTGGAGGGAAAGAAGTTGGGAAAAAAAGGGAAGGGAGTTCCAGGGTTTGGGAAATCAGGGTGGGCCAGGAGCCTGGGTCTTCTGGCCTTTTGCACAACCAGATATGCCAGCTGTCTGCACCACACGCTTCCCCGGTACCCGGCCTGTGCTCAGCAGCCCATGCCTGCCTCTCCAGGTCTCAGGGTCCCAGCTCTGGTCAGCCGCCCTGCCTTAGCCTGACCACGGCTTGGCCTCAAAGGCGGCCTCCTCCCCACTCCCTGCAGGCAGCACCAGTGACATCATGACGAGTGACCACAGCCCCGTGTTTGCCACGTTTGAGGCCGGCGTCACCTCCCAGTTCGTCTCCAAGAACGGTGAGTGGTGGCTGCGCCTGGGGCGTCTCTGTTTCCCGCACAAGCGGCGGCCTGGGCACTCAGCTTCAGTTGACGATCTGTGGTCTGCGTGGGGTGAGGCCGATTCTCCCGCCGAGCCCGGAGCCCACTGGCCCACCCGTGCCGGGCGTGCAGGCCGCACTGCCTTTTCGTACACCGGCTCTTGTGGACTCGTGCCCTGGAGTCAGAGGACTGCCTGGATAGGCATTGGCCTAAGTGTGGCCTGGCTGTGCGGAAGCTGGTGCTGGGGTGGGACAGGCATCAGTGCTGCATTTGTTCTCCTGGTTTTTAAGCCGATTCCTTCGGGGTAGGCAAGTGCGTTAGCCTTCCACTCAGTAGTGTGGTATACTTTATTTAATTACATTTATGCTTTCCAAGTGTGTCTATTTAAAGGAAGCATTAAGTAGACATTGGTGGCACTGGAGGTGTTAGACACTGTGGAAGTGGGGTGTGGGTGGCTGTCTTGGAAAACACTATAGATTTTTTTTGTTTGTTTTCAGTTTGGTGTTTGTTGTTTTGCGGGGAGGTAGGGGACGGGGTCTTGCCACGTAGTCCTGACTGGCCTTGAACTTCTTACATAACTCGGGTTGGCTTCGAATTCTCAGCGATCCTCCTGCCTCAGCCTTCTTGAGTGCTGGGATCACAGGTGTGCACCAGCACACCCAGTTCCGGAAACACTAGATTTGCAGGCAGTGTTTCAAGTTGCCCGGCCTAGCCCTGGTCCCCGGGCAGTCCCTGTCGTGTGTCCATCCAGCCCCCAGCCTAGCAGCCAGGCTGCCTCCTCACTCGCTCTGCCCGCTCCTTACATCTGTGCAGCAGATAGTTCGGGCCCTTTTAGGAGGAAGCCAAACCCAGGCAGGAAGAGGCCATACCTGCCTTCTGTGACCTGAGGGACGAGAGTGGGGCTGGGACACTGTCTTTCTGGGCTCTCCCGCCCCAGATTGCTGGGCCTGGAGTCTGCAGCTCAGGCAGTGTGGCCTCCCTTCTGCACCCCAGCTCCACATTCCTCTGCCGGTTATGCCTCCTTTCTAGCTTCGGCCTCTGCCTTTGCAGAACCTCCCTGGCCTTGAGTTTCCTCTTCATCCTTGGTCCTCATCTCCCCTTGCTCTGAGTTCCGACAGCCTCTGTACAGTGGCCCTTGTCACCTCCCCCGTCACTCGTGACAGTGCTGTCCGCTTTGGGCTCACGGATACGGATCCCTTGGGTGGCGCTTGGGTTAAGTATCTGCCTGAGGGAGCCTGGCTGGTGTATGGGGTTCCGGAAGAGAAAAGGAAGAAGGACAGATAGGGAGAGATGAAAGGGAAGATTTCTTCTTGCTCTCAGGTGACTCAGAGTTTATAGGAAAGGAAAGAATTTTTTTTTTTTTTTTTTTTTTTTTTTTTTTTGGTACCAGGGATCAAACTCGGGACCTTGTGCTTGTGAGGCAGGTGGCGGAACCACTGAGCTAAATCCCCAGCTCAGGAAAAAAATATTTAAAGCCAGCTTATGTCCCAGCACTTGGGAGGCTGAGGCAGGAGGATTACCACAAGTTCCAAGCCAGCCTGGGCTTTGTAGTAAGTTCAAAGCCAGCCTGAAATATATAGTGAGACCCTACCTCAAAAAAAGAAAAGCAGCTGAGGAGATTTAACTCAGAGGTGCCGCTGCCTGCCTTGAAAACACAAGGTCCTGAGTTCAATCCCCAACACCAAAAAAGTAGCTGAGGGGATTGGGACATTGAGCATCTGGGCCATTGTACCCACTCTCTCTGCCAGACCTATCGGGCAGACTGCGGGACGAGGTTAGGAGCTGTCCGAGGCCACAGAGCTTTGGGCAGTGCTGAGAGCCATCTTAGTGCTTCAAGCTCTGTTCTCTGAGTTCTGCCCCTGGGCAGCCAGCTCAGGACTGCTCAGAGAGGCTGTTGCTAGCATTACGATGCCCAGCATGAGTGTGCGCTGGTGCTGGCAGTAGCTTTACTCCGAGGCAAACCTCTTCCTCCTGGTCTCTGCCCTCCCTGGGACCCTGAGGGAGCTTGGCACAGCGAGTCCACCCTCGGAAGGAAGCCTTGGAGAGGAGCTGACTGAAAACGGTCCAGCCTGGCACACAGCCCTGAGCCTCTGTTCCCACGTGCCGCAGGCCCCGGGACTGTGGACAGCCAGGGCCAGATCGAGTTCCTCGCGTGCTACGCCACTCTGAAGACCAAGTCACAGACCAAGTTCTACCTGGAGTTCCACTCCAGCTGCCTGGAGAGTGAGTACCCTGGGCGGGGCGGGCGGGGCCTCGCTCCTCCTCTCCAGAAAGGGCTCCCAGAAGCGGGGCTGCAGGGGGACAGCCCCGTGCCCGCCCTGGGGACGGGAGCGGCAACCGATGTACGGACCCCGAGTCCCCGTGGGCGCCTGGCTCCTCACGCTGCCCGCTCGGCACACTGAACTCCTTCCCCGAGCTGGGCTGTGACTCAGCCCGCGTCCTGAGCAAAGCTGCTGAACCCACGGGGGCCACCGAGAGCCCCAAACAGCTGCTGCCGCCTGCCCGCCGTCACTGGGCCCCCTTTCGTCCTTCCGGGCAGCCCCTGTGCTGGCTGCAGTACCCTCGACAAGCCACAGTGGGCGCCCTCCTCTTACACAGATGCCTTCAGGAAGCACCCTTTCCTGGGGACATTTCCGGGCGCATCATCCACGGCTCTTCCTTGGTTCTAGTTCTGGCCGCACTGTCTGGAGGGTGGGGGTTTGCGGGGAGGAATCGACTCCACAGAGAGAAGCACGGAAGCGATGCTTCCAGAAATCAGAAGCCACGATCCTGTCTCCTGCGCCTGTCCCTTCTCCAGCTCAGCCCTGGCAACGGTGGCCTTCACCACTAAGTCCCCAAAGCCCCTGTCACCAGCAAGCTGGGTCAAAGCCGTTCCAAAACGGATAGGGATTTTTGTGCGGGTGTTTTTAATAAACTATCAAGACATTTGCATACATTTCTATGGAAACAGCATATTAGGAAGCTAAAATTAGAATTTCAAAAGGCTGCTATCCTGAGTGGCGTGGGATGAGCTGTCATGTTTCCCAGTCTTCTTGCCTGTGATGTGATGATGTCTTTGTGGCCTGGTTTATTGCAGAGGGAAACTGAAGAGGAGGGGGATCTCTTTGATTTTACTGAAAATAAGTAGAGCGTGTTGGCAAATGTCCATGCCCTGCACAAAAACAGGATCCCCAGCAAGTGCTGAGGCCCCCAAGAGAAGAGGAAGGAGGCTGGGCATGGTGGTGGCGCACGCCTGTAATCCCAGCCCTCAGGATGCTGAGGCAGGAGGATCGCTTTGAATTTGAGGCCTGCCTGGGCTACATAGTGAGTTCAAGGCCGGTTTGAACTACATAGCAAGACCCTGTCTCCAAAAATAACAATAATAATAATAAAGTCAAGATTTAAGAGGTGGGAAACCTTTTTACCTGCTGGGGGAGGTGGTCCTGGGAGGCGTCTGTATCTGACCCTTGCTCCGGCTTCCTGTCCCCCCCACAGGTTTTGTCAAGAGTCAGGAAGGAGAAAACGAAGAGGGCAGCGAGGGGGAGCTGGTGGTGAAGTTTGGTGAGACCCTTCCCAAGGTAATCACAAGAGAGAATGCGCCCCAGGGGAAGGTTGGGGTCGCCAGGCCAGCAACACTGGCCAGGAGCAGAGCCGAGACCCCGCCTGATCAGAGGGATCTCACGGGCGAAATGCAGCAGGGGTACTCCTGTACAAATGGCTCTCAGTTCCGCAGTAATCATGGATGAGACCTGGTAGTCCACACAAAATCACATGATTTTGCAAAAAAGAGAACGGTAGCCAGGGGTGGTGGTGCACGCCTGTGATCCCAGCACAGAGGAGGCTCAGGCAGGAGGATCGCTGAGTTCAAGGATATCCTAAACTACATAGTGAGTTCAAGGGCAGCCTGAACGGTGTGATGAGACCCTGTCTCAAAATCCAAAAATAAATAAATACGGAAGGAGCCCTAATGTGCAAAAAATGAGAGGCTCATTTATGGTCACAAATCCATAGTGGCAGACCAGGAGTCAGCCCCAAATGCACCTTTGTTTTCTTTCTTTTTAAGAATTTTTGTTGTTGTTGTTGTTGTTGTTATTGGGAATCGAACTCAGGACCTTGCGCTTGCAAGGCAGGCAGCAGCAGAACCACTGAGCTAAATCCCTGGCCATGAATTTTTAAAGAGTCTACCTGGTAAAATTGATTTGTATTCTGATGACAGAATTTTCTTTTCTCTTTATTGGTACATGTTGGCCGTTGGTAATGGTCACATCCATGGTGAGGAGCTGGCACACGCACTTGGCACATCCTCGAGCCTTTCCACTTTCCTTTTCTGTCCCCTCCCGGGTGCTGGGGCTGGCCCATGGGCTCCTGTGGAGATGTGTGAGGAGAGGAGCAGCCGGGGATGTAGCTCAGTGGTGCTGCTGCCTGCCTCGCAAGCTGTATGTGGCAGAGGCAGCGGCGCGGGTGGGTTCAGGGGCTGGGCTTGCCATGCTGCCATAACCACTGACTGGAGCAGCTGTGGGCCTGGTAAGGAGGCCTTGTGGCCCCGGGAGAGAGGATGTTCCCGAGCTGGGGTTGCTCCGGATTTGGGTGCCTCCTCCAGTACAGACGGCTCTGCTCTCAGAGGCCCACACTGCGGCTGTCAGGTCCAAGTCCTTGGAGCTCTTGGCCCCAGGGGGCACACCCCCCACCAGCCAGACCCATCCTGCTGCTCCCTACTGGCTCTGCCCCAGGAACCCACATTGTCTCCTCCTTTGGTGGCCCCGGGAAAGACACCAGCATCCCAGTCCCTGTGGCATGCCCGCCCCAACTCCAGCACCTGTAGAGGGCGCCCCTGTCTCTCACCTCCCCACTTCCTCGTTGGCTGAGGAAGATGGGGTCTCATAACTGTGTGGGCAGCCCCCTGCCCTGGGCAGGTTCTAACTCAGCCATGTCCCTGCTGGCCAGTGAGCCCTGTGGTTGGTAGGGCCCTCACACCCCAGCATGCCTCAGCCCCACCGTGATTTCCCGTCTTTGTTCCAGAACTTTCTGGAAGACGGAAATAGTGAGTCCAGCCTGATGTTCAATATGGTGCCCAATGCCTATGCCTGGTGCCGTTTGGTGTCTGGAAGGGAAGGGAAGGGACATCCCGGAGCGGCTAACCCTAACCCGTTTGAGGCAGTGTCATTATGGGGAGTGGCCTGAAGTTGAGAAAAATACATAGATTCCAGTTGAGTGTAGGCACTAATTTAACGCTAGCCACAGGCCCTATACTGAGGAGGTTTGAGGTTTCCCTGGCAGGGTGCAAATCCTGAGCTGAGCCAGACCAGCAGGCTCCCTGGATGCCAGCGATGCCTGGCTCTGAGTGATTTACTGCATCTAGAAGTTGAGGGCAGGGCTGCAGAGTAGGAGGCTGTCAGTCATTCACTGGACCATGCACTGCAGACCCAGGTGGGAGGGCCCTGCCTGAGGGGCACACGGACCTTCTCTCCCGACACCAGTGAGAGGACCTGAAGGGAAGGAAGGTGGCTTTATGAGGGTGCCTGGCACAGTGGGGTGCACAGGCCGTACCAGACCTGGCTCTGGGACCCTGCAAAGGAGGGAAGGAAGGGAGAGAGGCAGCGGGCATGGGGCCATTTGAGGTCAGCCCTCTCCTTGGGGCCTGGGAGCTCGGCTCAGCGTAGGAGGCCTGGGCCCAAGCGGTAGAGGATGAGGGACAAAAAGAAAGGCCCTGCCTGGTGGGCTGAGCATAGAGTTCCTACCAGCACTCTCAGTCATAGGGAGCTGAGACTTGAACCCGGACAACATCTTCAGCCCCTTTTACCTACGGGTGCTCCATACCCACCTGCTTCTCGCCCACCCCCGCCTGTTGGCACTAATCCTGTGCCTTCTCCCTGCAGTTAAAGCCCATCATCTCTGACCCCGAGTACCTGTTGGACCAGCACATCCTGATCAGCATTAAGTCCTCTGACAGTGATGAATCCTACGGTAAGTTAGGCATCCCCATCCTAACCCTTCCTCCCCTGTCCTGTGGGCTTCTGGGAATAATGGCCTGGAGCCAGGGTCCCTCCCACACATAGCCTTCCTGGGTATCCAGCCTATGCACCTTGCAGGTACTATGTGATTTCATCCTCCACGCGTTACTGTATTAGTCCGCTTTCCCATCGCTGAGACACAACACTCGCAATGTAAAGCAGGAGAGGTTTATATTGGCTCCTGACTTCTGTGGGTTCGGTCTGTGGTCAGCTGGCTCCAAGGCAGAAAGAGCACGCTGGAAGGTCCTGGCAGAGGAGAGCGGCTCAACTTTTGGCAGCCAGGAAGCAGAGAGAGAAGGGAGGAGTTGGGGACAAGGACACACCCTTCCAGGTCACACCCCTCAGTGGCCACCTCCCGGCAGGGCTCCCCTTCTAACACATTTAGCTACTAAACTCAGTGGGTAAAGGCTGAAGCAAGAGGATCGCTACAAGACGGAGGCCAGCCTGGGCTCCATAGTGATTTTAGCATGGGCAGGATCAAATGACCAGATCGCACAAGTTAACAGTCGGCTGAGCTCTAATTCGAGCCCAGTTCTGCTTGTACTGCCAAGTCCAAGTCTCAGCCCACCATGTGGAGCGGCAGCCCCTCCATGTTGGGCAAGTTGGCTTCCTTTTGATTTTAGGGTTTGTTTTTTATTTTCTTTGCATAGGCTTTAAACAGCTCTCTCCTTCCCTACCCATCTCAATTTGCCTTTTGTTGCATTGTTTCAAACCTTGGGAAGTTGGCGTCCCCTACAGCAACCAGATTAGCATTCAATTCTGTCTTTCTGCTGGATTTTCTAGGATTTAATTTTTCTTTTCATGATGACTAATCCATAGAATTCATTTTGCTATGAGGTTTTGAGGTATTTGTCCCAAATTGCTGAGGCACTATTGTAAAGGAGCTATGCTCTGCCTGGCCATTGTTTCTTTGTTTGGTCTTTGCTTCTTTGTTTGTTTTCTGAGACAGGATCTTGCTATGTAGTTAAGACTGACCTTGAACTCACTATGGAGCCCAGGCTGGCCTCAAACTCGGGGCAATCCTCCTGCCTCAGCCTCCCCAGTGCTGGGATTACAGGCATCTGCCACCGTGCCCACCTGGGCCATTGTTTTGAGGCACTGTCTTCAGGAAACTAATACTCCTCATTCCTCCCACAGATGACAGATCTTGACACTGCTATTGCCTCTCCTCCCCACAGGTGAGGGCTGCATCGCCCTTCGGTTGGAGGCTACAGAGACCCAGCTACCCATCTATACGCCACTCACCCACATTGGAGAGATGACTGGCCACTTCAGGGGCGCCATTAAGCTTCAGACCTCCCAGGGCAAGAAGAGGGAGAAGCTGTACGGTAAGCCAGCCCTCTGGCCCCTCCCCACCCACAGGCAGAACCCAAGTGTGATCTGACCTATCCTTTCCCGATTGAAGACTTTCTCTGAACCAGGTGTAGTGGCACACACACCCATCTAACCCCCACTCTCTGGGAGGCTGAGGCAGGAGAATCTCAGGTTCAGGCCCAACCTGGATAATTTAGCAAGAGTCTGTCTCAAAAAAAAAGGGTGGGGTGAGTGGGGTGACTGCAGATTGGAAATCCCTGGTACCATTAGAAAAACTGCCTTCCAACACACTGTCACCCACCACTTATACCTAGACCCCACCCCCCGCTGCCGCTGCCGCCGCCGCCGCTGTCCGGTCCACAGCACATTTCTTTGGTTTTTCCGTTCACTGGCTCCAGCTGCCTTTAAAATAGCAGCATCGTCTGGTTCATCCCCCAGCAGGGCATCTGTGTGTACCTTCTCAACTTGACCCCACATCTTTCTGTCTTCTTAAATGCTGCTTCCTTGTTTTGACTGGCGGTGGGGAAGTTTCATTTATTGTGACTCTCAAGAAATGATACAGGGTCGGGAGATGTAGTTTGGGACTAGAGCACTTGCCTCGCATGCGAGAGGCCCTGGGTTCCAGCCTTGCTAATACATAAGCGCTCACCTGCGCCCCCATGCGGTCACACTTGGAACAAATAGCCCCGGTGGCTGTTTCTTCACTGGTGAGCACCAGCTTGGGGAAATCATCCCCCATCTATGCCCAAGTCTTAGATAAAAATGGTCCCCACTCTGGCGAAGACCCTACCAACACCGCCAGAACATAGTGTGCTGGGATTCAAATTTGTCATTTTCTCCTACTTCTACCCCCAAATTTTGAAACTTGCCAATTCATATTTATACATCCCATTAAATCTTCTCTGTATGAAATGATAAAAGCGTTGAGAGATACAGAGCTATCCAAAATTTGTTAACCAAATATTTCTTCCTTTTCACACAAGCGACAGTTGATTTGCCTTTTCTTTCCTTTTCTCCTTCACTTTAAGCCCTACTAAGCACTGAAATAACAATGCCTAAAATGAAGTGGGCGTTCACTACAGACTTGATAACATACAAAGTGATTGTCTCACACACGTCATCTCACTCATCTCTCATAGCAACCCTGTGTTTTTGTCCTTGTTTGGCAAAAAGGGAAACTGAGGCACACAAAGGCTAAGTAGTTGGCTTGTGGTCACATGCCCAGTCAGTGGCCATGCCAAGGTGAGAGTGCAGGTTCATGCAGTGCTACCTGGGGATATGGCTCCTCCTTGCCCTGTGAGACTCCTTTCTCCAGCAGGATGGTGGGTTGGTGTGATGGGACTTGACCCTTGCCTCACACCACAATCAGAAATGAAGATAAGCATCCCCATTTCCTAAAATCCCCGCACAGGTTGGCCCTATGTACCAAATGCTATTTTGGAGTCACTGCTTACCTTTGTTTTATTCTAATCTTATAAGCAATATTTGCCTGTTTTGTCCCTTGGTAAAACCAGCAAGCTGCAAATTCTTATTCTGCAGCCATGGCAGGCATAACTAATCAATCACAGACTTTCTGAAGTCACAGCAGGCATAACTAATCAATTACTGAATGGAGGCCTCAGGCTCTTGCCTAAAACACTTCCCCAAGTAGCCACAATTTATTGTCCACTTTGCCATCCCTAACCAAAGTCTGAGAGCCAGGTCCTCACATTTTCCTTTCCGGCCCTTGTCTTCCAGACTTCGTGAAGACAGAGCGGGATGAGTCCAGTGGGCCAAAGTGTCTGAAGAGCCTCACCAGCCATGACTCCATGAAGCAGTGGGAACCTGCTGGCAGGTAAGGCAGGATCTGGGGACGTGCACACTGGCTGGGCTGTGCGGAGCAGGGCTCAGAAAAGGCCGAAGCCAGAGGAGGGCGGCCTCTGCCCAGCCCAGTAGAGCGCCGTCTTGGCCATTAGCTCCGCTCTTCAGGTCACAGACTGATGTCTCTGGGAAGGTCTGTGTGACCATAAGGAAGCCTGGGAGGCTTAGTTCAGCTCAGCCACTGTTAGTTGAGCACCTACTGTGTGTTGGGTGCTGGAGAAACCAAGACAAGTTAGGTGCGGTCCCCAACTTGGGAAGTCTTGGCTGACGGGAGCTGCAGTGGGGTCCCTGAGACCCAGGGGCCCTGAACCCTTTGTTCTCATGAGATCATTGCTAACCACGTGCAGTGTCACTGTTGGGTCACCTCACTCGGGGCTGAGCTGAGTGCCCTCCATTGCCAGCCTAGCCTTGGACCTCGGTCAACCAACCCATGGTGCAGTGAAGAGATGGAGGGCCCGAGGGACACCAGAGGGCACTGTCCTCAGGCAGGTGGGAGGCCGAGCCCTGACCGAGCGAGCCTCTGTCTTCCCCGCAGGGCCCCTCTGTGCGGTTCCCTGAGCATCACCGACATCGTGAATCCCAGCTACATAGGCCTGGGCCCCTTCGGGCAGCCGCTGCACCCAAAGCCGGCCATGTCCCCGTCCCCAGACCAGCCATTTCCGGCCTGGAGCTACGACCCACTGCCCAAGGACTCTTCCCTGGGCCCGGGAAGAGGGGATAGTCCTCCCACTCCTCCCTCCCAGCCACCGCTATCGCCCAAGAAGTTTGCCTCCACCATAGCAAACCGGGGCCCCTGCCCCCGGGCCCAGGAGCCAAGGTGAGTGTCCTGGTCGCCATCCGCTGGCTGGCCGGGGTCCACCTCGAATACCCTTGAGAGAGCAGGGCCCGTTGTGGTGTCCGACACATCACACCCTAGCCGAGCAGCGCAGTGCGATTTTAAAAGGGGAAGAAGATAGGAAGGTTTAAAGATACCGCCAAGTACTGGCTGTGCAGGAGCAGAAGCCATGTTTCTCCCAAGTCAGGCTCCCAGCCAGGCACCTGCTGGGCTCCAGGAACCCGCATCTTCTTTAGGAAGCAGAACACCGTCCTGGGAGCTTATATTCTAGGCCAGAAAGTACAATGTGTCCCCATTCCTCATTCCCGTACGCATCTCGGCAGGAAGTCAGAGCAGCAACAAGTCAGGAAGCAGCGAAGCAGCACTCAGTCCTGGATGACAGCAGGCAGTTCTTCCTGTCCCACAAGTCTGACGTGCTGTTCTTTTCCCTTGATCTTTGTCCTGCGTCTATCTGTGTCCCCTCTGGCTTTGGTCACAGCTGCTCTACTGTTTCCTCCTTCCTCTGATGAGTTATGTGACAAAGAAATCCCCTTCCAGGGAGGGGATTTTGTTACACTGTGTCAAGGCAGTAATAGTAGCATAGGCTTGTAATCCCAGCTCCTCAGGAGGCTGAGGCAGGAGGATCACAAGTATGAGTCCAGCCTGGGCAATTTATGAAACTTTGTCTCAAAATTTAAAGGGGATGGAGGATTAGAGTACAGCTCAACAAACCATGGGCTCAATCTCCAGTACCACAAAACAAACAAACAAACAAACAAACAAACTCTTAATCCAAAGGCAGGCCAGCAGAGCAAAGGCTTTGTTTGTTTTGTTCTTGAGTACATGGCAGCTTCCTACAAGTCTGGAAGACAGAGTATCTTGACTCCCTCCTGAGACACAAGTGGTCACAGAAGAGGCCCTGGGGAGCCGGGGGAGGCAGGTCAGGGCCTGTCACAGAGACAAGAGGGCCGGTGGGCCTGCTGAGGAGGGGGCTGGGTAAGTAAGTTCGCACCTCCCAACCTGCGAAGCCACCGCCAAAGTCCTTCTTGGTCAGAACTGAGGTTCCTGGTGAGGACGTGGAGTAACACCTACCATCCCGTCCGATGTATTACTTTTTTATCAATGTGATGAACCTAGAACATAAAATCAACCATTTCAAAATGGCATTTGGAGCCGAGCGTGGTGGTGCATGCCTGTAATTCCAGCACTTGGGAGGCTGAGGCAGGAGGATCGCTGTGAGTTCCAGACCAGCCTGGGCTACATAGTGAGTTCCAGGTCATTCTCAACCACATAGTGAGACCCTGTCTCAAAAAAAAAACCAAAAACAAACAATCAAAATGGCATTTGGTACTTTCACTGTGTTATTGCAACCACCCCCCTCTAGCTGTTTCCAAAACAGTTTCCAATCATCCCTTATTTCTGGTTTTTGCTTTTTTGAAACAGAGTTTTGCTTTGTAGTTCAAGCTGGCCTTTCACTGACTGTGTAGCCCAGGCTGGCCTGAAACTCATGGCCATTGTCCTGCCTCAGCCTGTGGAATGCTGGAATTACAGGTGTGCGCCACCACACCTGGCTCGTCCAGTATTATTTTTATTTTTTCTAATTTGTTTGAGAGACAGCTCTCACTGAGTTGCCCAGGCTGACTTAGAACTTGCTCTCGGACCTCAGCCTTCCTTGGAGCTGCTGTTAAGCATGTCACCCTGCTAGACTGGTTCAACAACATTTCTTCTAATCACTGTAGACAAAAACCCAGGCTCAAAGCCGCCAGCACCGCACACCATGCCCCCATTCTGAACGCACCTTGCCCCATCCTTCCTCCTCCTTCCCTCCCTCTAGGCCCAGCGAGCTGGGGAAGGGGGCGGCCGGAGCCCTGCAGGAGGATCTGCCGCCTGCCAAGCCGGAGATGTTTGAGAACCCGCTGTATGGCTCTGTGAGCACCTTCCCCAAGCTGGCCCCCCGGAAGGAGCAGGAGTCCCCCAAGACGCCCCGGAAGGAGGCCCTGCCCTGCCTGGAGCCGGCTGCGACATCGTCCAGCGTCCTGG